GCTCGCTGGAAGCTGCAAGAAACATAGATGGATAGGATGACCAACCTTGTCCACATCTGTCTGTAAAGGCAATCCGGTCATCATTTCCTGAAGTTTCCGTGCTTCCGAGCTTAGCTTATCAGTGTTCAGGATTTGTGACGCGAACGCCTCTCTTGCTGTTCGCACCACAAGATGGCATTGTTCATTCAAATCTGTAAAGATTACAAAGTACAGAAGAACAGAAAAACACCAGAAAAGAACTCACCATCGAAATGCTGGATAGAAGCAGTGTAAGCAGCAGCAGCGCAAGCATTCACAGAAAGGACGCATGAATGTGTTAATACTATCAAATCAGTTACTGTCGGCGAACCCTTTTCACTCAACAGTGACAAGAAGACGTTCAGTGCAGACTGAGCAAGATCTGTAATGATTAAAAAACAATAGTGGCATGTTGGAATAATGAATAGCATTCTAGATTTCATCTGCTGAAACACATACGTGGGGGATAAGATATGGAAGTGACGTTGGGGAGCTCTTCATCGCAGCGGAGGAGAATCGTTGACACGGCAGCACGAATTTCTCCTAAAAACGCAAACTCAAGCTGTAGGACTCATTTATTGAGCTAATTTAGTTTGGAGTAGTGGGCAACATTCAATGTAATTGGAATTACTTGATGAGCAGTTCAGAAGAATTCTTGTCATCAGCTGAGGAAACTAATACTGTAACCTTTACTCACACTTCAACGCCTCAAAATGAATTCAATTCTCTCAACTAAAAATTTGACAATGATCGATGTCAGACTTCGCGACTGGAGCGATTTTGCACAAATGAGAGCAGGGATTAATCGCTCGTGCCGTGGTGTGCCATTGGCCGTGGTGGCAGTGAGCAATTAACCGCTGCCACGCTCCCTTTGATCGATACCCTTGAGAGAGGAGGTGCTCATACATAAAACTAGACAGTTTCCATTTCCTAGTAACCTAGATAGCTATACCGTCTCATAATTTTTGTTCAATTGACTGGTCACTAAGGAATATGAACTATCTAGGGTTATGCCTAGACATCTACCCACTCGGGGGTATGTAAGTGGGCGTGGTAGCGATTGATCGCACCTTGCCACCATGACCCGAGCGATGAATCGCTCCCATCATTTAGGCAGAATTGCTCCAGTCGCAAAGTCTGACATCTGTCAATGGAACTCTCAGCGGTGAAAGAATTGAAGTCTTGCCATGACATCGATAAAGCAAATATGGAACCCAAAAGTAAATTAGAGCAATTTAATTTCAAGAAAAAAAGAAAATTATCCCCAACAGGAAGCGAAAAACCAGGGATTGTAACCAGAGTCAACCCTGCGTTGCGCAGTTCTCAACGGCCACGTTGCGCAGTTTCGCCCGATTAGACACGTTCTCTCGCGCGAACATTCACACTCGCATGCTCGAGCCGTCTGCGTCTCCGCCCATACAGCGTGCGTTGAGGATCTCTCAACGTGCCGTTGCGAACTGCGCAACGCAGGGTTGACTCTGATTGTAACTGACTGACACCCTGTACGCGCATGAATGGTGAGCCGATAAGCAACATTTCTGGAAAAGTGCGAACGTGACGGTTGGTCCTGCCCACAGCAACAATCATCTAACCCACTCCAGTGCCACCAGTTTCTTAACACATGAAATAAGATTTGCAATCGACAGATTCCGCATGGTGAACATAATAAAGCGAACATTGTACATTATCCACCGACTCACCGTTTAACTTCTTTTCGATTGCAGCCTTTTCATCCACAAAACGATCTGAAGCAGTGACCAACTCCGACTTATGTTCGGCTTTAAGATGTTCGAGACTCTGATAAGGAAAACAGAAATAAATTGTACAAATAAAGGCCATACATAGTTTTTCATGAGAAATACAGCTATGAAACTAGATATGAGAAGAGAATTTTAGAAAGCGACAATCAGAAAAGAGACCATGGGACAGATTTAGAAAACTAACGGCTACATTTCAACACAAATCCTGCGCACACTCACACTACGGCGACTGCCAAATGAATAAGTTAACGTTTACACGAACAACATGACTAACTAAAACCTGGCCATAAACGAAAACAAGCAAAAAAATGTTTGAGAAAGTAATATCCTAAACCAAACCAGAATAAGATCAAGAGTGAAAGCAGTATGTGGACTAAATTACCTGACGTAGTTGTTCCATTTCAATGTCAGCTTTCGCTAGTTGCGACCGTAGTTCATCCACTGCTACTGCATCACTTTCTGCTTTGGAAGACACTGCCGAAAGGCTTTTCTCATTCTCTTCCAGTTTCCGACTAAAGACTTGTTAACTGCAACG